AAAAAAAAAATCAATCCCAAAAAGTCAATTTTTCAAAAAAGTTATGGTTATTTAACAAAAAAAAGCTGTTTTTTTGTAATAACTCGTAACTTTTTTTTGGTTGGGTAAAAAAATTTGAAAAAATTCTGAAAATTGTTTTCAATAGGGTAGAGAAAGATACCAAAATTTCAGAAAAATCGAAAAGGGTCGGTGTCAAAAGTGGTCGATTTGGCATGGAATGCCCCATTTATATCTGTTTATTTTTATTTGATTATTAATTTATAGAACAAGATATTGAAAAATTAAGGCGGGAGCTGGAGGAAGCTCTCAAGGCTTACAATAGTCGGGTAGCGGAAGAAAAGCAAAATGTTCCGTCGCAATTGCAACTTCAGCCAGTGATTCCGACAAAGCAATCACAAGATCTGACAGCTGCAGGATCAGGAGAAACGGAAACAGCAAAGCGTAATTTACATATAATATGCTTAAATCATACCAAATTAATATGACATTTGATTTCATTTCTTTTCTTTAAAGTTTTCTTTTACTACAAAGTTTATGAAGAATTTTTAAAATTATTTTTTTCTACTAAAAAAAAGTTAAAAATTTTTCAAAAATCTTTTTCTAATCTTATTGACTTAATCATATAACTTTTGCGGCAATTGAGTTATCAAAACATTTTTTTTTCTTTATAATTATTTTCAAATTTTTGCTTTTGTAAAGAATCGGCTTTGATGTTTTTGTTTTCTGTTGAAGAATTAAGAAAAATTTCTCGATATTTATTGTTTCTAATTTTTCTTATCGTCATGTTATTCGCCTTTTAAATTAATTTAAAGTTTAATTAATTAGCAAATCCTATGAAATACAATGCACCTTAAATTTATTTTAATTAATGATTTAGTCGGAAGTGAATCAAATAGTTTTTTTTTATTTATTCGTTTTTAAATTTAATTTGAAAAAAAAAAAAATTTTTAAATCTCTTTCTATTCTAAAAAATATTTTAGATTCCACTCTAAAAATTTCATAATAAAGAAGTAAAAAAATGCCAATTTTCGAGAAAGTTTTCTCGATAACTTTTTTGATTTTTTTTCTTTAAAAGTACATTTAAAAATAGATTTGAAAAAACCTTACACTATCACTAAGATTACTATGATGATATTTACATATTGTTATTTTTTTTTTTTTTTCAGCGAAAACTACCCGAGGTAAAGCCGGTGGAGTTCAACGCCGTCTTTATCGCCTGAAATTCCTCGAGAGAGGAAGAGGAGGGAGAGGACAAGGCTGGAGAGGAAACCGCGGCGCAGACTATAATTTCTTCTATTAATAATAAGCTAAAATAATTTCCACTTGAGTTATGAATATTGAATAAAGTTCAGCACACACCCTGCTTAACAAGTCTATAAATTCATAATTTGGCTCTTCTGCTGTTCTGCTATCAGGTAGGCAATCAAGTGTAAGTGGCCCATACTTTAGTAGTTCCTGAATTCTCAGCTGAAGAGTTGCACCTAAGCGGTTGTGGTTCCTCTAAATTCAATGTCGTATCGTGTCCACCGTCGAACTCTGGTAATCAGTATCTGAAAAAGTTCTATTGCTTACATCTTCATAATCAGTCCTAATCAATTTCTGTGAAAAGAATTCATCTGCGTAATGCAGAAGAAGTACTGGAATCAGAAATTAGTTTTCAAAGTTTGCGCGGTTACGTTGATTACACTTATCCAAAGTTTTCTGATCTTTTTGTTATTTATTTATTTATTTATTATGAACGTCCTAGGACAAGTGTCCCCTTTGGACTGTAAGTACAAAAACATAGAGTATATAGTGAGTACATAGGGTGTGCCAAATTTAAACTTCAATGATGGATCTTTTAAAATTGGAATTTTGAGTTCAGCTTTTAACAGGAGTTGTGTTTGGGCATTTCCTGAGATATTTTGAGCGTAGGGGATTTATTTGATTTTCATATAATTTTTTTACAGGAATTTTGTTTGGCCAAATTTTGAAATCTTGAAATTTCAGCAAAAATGTCTAAACAAAACTCCTGTTAAAATCGGAACTCAAAATTCCAATTTTAGGAGGTCCATCACTGGTTGAAATCTGGCACACCCTAGAGTACATTATATATTTATAGTATTAAGTGTAAGTATAAGTTTAATGTAAGCATTACTTAAAAGTTAATAATGATAGAAATAATAAGCAAATTCATAAGACTATACAGCTTATAAAAATTCAAAATTATTGCGATTTTACAATTTGAACCTCAACAACTAATATTTATCTTAAAACAAATTATAACACGCAGATTTGAACTCATTAAATATCTGTAACGAAACAATTTCAGATAGTAGCTCCTTCCACAATTTAATAGCGGTAATTAGAAAAGATTTCTTAATTTAAATGTAAAAGTTCTGCAAGTTGGTTCATAAAATACATCATTCCTTCGCACCGCGCGATCTTTAATAGCGAGAAGAATTCTAAAATCAGAATATAATAATTTATTGTGGTCCAAATGCAACATTTTATAAACTACACTCATTATCAAGTATTCGCGTCGGTTTCTTAGACTTAGCCAGCCGTATTCGTTATATTAACTTTCAATACTTATTTTTTTAAATGTTGGAAGCTTTATTCTTCAGAATAACTAATATTATCTTTCTTGAACCGTTCATTGTCTTGTATATGTCGCGACAAGTCTCTACACTAGATGCTTCGGGTAGGCTCGCAGGCCTTCGAGCATTCTCGGATCTTAGCTACTACTCCTATCAAGAACAGGGAGAACAGTATAATATAAATAAACATGTACTTGGCTGAGGCACTACCAGTGCCTCCGGATTTACAACCCGCTTCATAGGTATAACGTAAAACTATAAAACATCTTTACATAAAACAATATTTATTTATTTAGAAAACGCCAATCGGCAATATACATCCATGAAATTACAATAAAAAGAAAATATATAATTTATAAGTTCAAAAGAAACAAAGGAAATAAGAATTTCACATTTTAACAATTTGCAAAAATACTACAGTTTATCCGGTGTATGTAAATACAATTTCTTCATAATTACCCGTGTACTCAGTAAGTTGTTTATTAATGTGAATTCTATTATAGTAGAATTTTCCTATATATAGACAGCTTTCAGTAGTTATCTATGTTGATATATTAAATGTATTTTTGTTTTCAAATTTTTTAAAATAAAAAAAAACTTGCTAATTTTACAATTTTATCACTTATTTTTATTTTATGATTTATAATATGGATTTACTAAATTTAGAAATTATTCTTAATTAGATACTTTAATATAAATAAGATAATCACACATTTTACATTAAATACATCCGTTAAAAAAACGAAACTAGAGAACAATCAGAGTTAGCTTCTTAGAGCGTTCGATTTTTTTTTTTTATTGAATATAATAAATATATATTACTGTCGTATGACACTGAAATTATCAGAAATTTCACCAACTTATGATTTTATTCAATAAATAAATTAGATCTAAAAAGTTATTTTTAAAAAATTGCACTTTTCGTTTTTTACAATTTCTTCATCAAAAATTTTTTTTATAATTTTTTTATTGCTACAATTTATCTGTTATAAAGTTCAAAAAATCCACAATACTGAAATTAAAAGACATCTGTGTACTTTTTTAATTTTTATAATAATTAAATTATTATGAAGAAATTTTAACAAAAAAATTTCACATCTAGAAATTAAACAAATTACAAGTGAAAATTTTTTTTAAATATATTTTTTAATAAAAATAAAAAAAATTCTCAAATGTCTGCTGATTTCAGTGTCATAGAAATCTATCAAATGCTGCCCGAGATCGTACACTAACGTCAGTATGACACAGTGACTGTTATCTTTAGAATTTTCAGTGAACTAAACTCGAAAAATTTCACTCTTACCATAAACGTCTCTTACCACCACCAACAATAATAATAATCAAATTGTTCATAAAATTTACAACCCAATATTTATTAAAAGTTTTCTGACGAATTTAAAATACATTTTGAGTGGAAAAGAAGTTATTTATACTACAAATATTATTTAAAAGTGCTAAAGAATTTAGTTTTTACGTTTTACGTAGAGAAATTAAAAATATTAATAAAATTCTAATAAGAAATCGATCGATAAATAAATCTGTAGTTTTTTTTGTTGAAAATTTACAGAAATTAATTCTTTAGCACATCATTACATCTTTTTAAACATTTACACAAAATTTCAGGTCATTACATTCAAAGTAACATATATGATAAAAAAGTTTGGTTTTAAACTTCATCAAATTGTCGGTAATCAATTTGCAACCGTTTCTCTCTGGTAAAGTTGCAAATATACCAACGATTCACTATAATATTTTTCAATTATCTGAGTTTTAGTTAATCGCGTGACAATTTCTGTACAGTACGATGATAATCTCACTAATTGGATGTTCATTATCATATCGTAAGATTTTATTTATAACCAGAAATGTTATTGATACGTTTTAGTAAAAATTTACTCATGAAAGAAACAAATAATTTTATTTTATTAGGGGTACATTAAAGATTATTACCCTAAATTTTTATTGAAAAATATTTAGTTATTAACAATCTCGTAGATAACTCAAAAATGGATCATCTAAAAATAAGAAATCAAATTGCTATTTAATCAGTAAAAATGTAGTTATCGTTGCACGTACGGAATTTAAAAAATTTTAATTTTAAAAATTTTTTTCATCCGAGTTAGAACAAAAAAAAAACAGTAAAAAAAATAAAAAAAATTTTTAATTAGTTGCCATTTTTTAAAAAATTAAAATTTTAAAAATTCCGTACGTGCAACAATAACTACATCCTTACTGATTGAAAAGCAATTTGGTTTTTTATTTTCAGAAGATCCGTATTTAAGTTATCGATACGACATGGAGGGGGAAATTTTTTTCTAGTGCTCTACGAGATTGTTAATAACTTCGTAATAATGAAATATCTTTTAATAAAAATTTAGGGTAATAATCTTTAATCTATCCTTGATAAAATAAAAAAAAATCCGATAGAATTTTTTTTATCATTAAATTACGGCGAGTATTGATTAATCAATATATATATCTAATTTTTAGTAATTAGAAGTACCTTACAAGATTATAAATCACATTTGCTCATCGATAATATTAATATTCTCGTCGGTCATCCGAGTTCTGTCTTGTAATTCGAAATTTTCCGGCATTAATAGCCTGGGGAGCCTCAACCTGCTAACGATATTTTCAAGAAAGAAAATAGCAATAGCCAAGATAAATATCAGAGCTGTAAACATGTACAAAGGTATCAAGTCAGTGGCGTCTACCAAATATCATATTTTTCAAATTCCGCGACCTTTTCAACAGCTTTCATTTTTTTGAGTTGATCTAATATGAATGTTCTATTATTATAATAATTGAATCCTGCTTCAAATGCTTGTACTATTTTTTTTCCCACCCGATCCTTCAGTGGCCAATCAGCCCGAGTAATGTGGACATAGTAACTAGGAAAAAGTACCTCTTTTGATATGTGTAATTTGAATTTAGGAGCATTTTTTAGTATAAATTCTGCTGCATCTATGCACGCGGTTGAACTTTCTTTGTGAGCTAATTTTAAACAGCCATGAAAATTTCCCTTTTTATTTTTATGTAAGTACTTAATATCTTGATCTGTGGTCCACAGTCCTGTATCTAAAATATCTTTATAAACATTAAGAAAAAATCGAACTTGATATTTATACTCGTATAAATCTTTTAGATTTTCAACATTCCGATAAGTGGGTTTTGCTAATAGGGCAAAAAATTGTCCTTCAAGTAGTGGAGAGAATACAAAAGCAAATAAAAATGCAGAGAGAAAGACAACGCGTGAGAAGCATCTGTTAAGAGGTAAGAGTACTTCCATATCTAACAACAATAGGTAAACATCCCTAAAAGCCCCACCAAATTGATATTTATTAATCAACACAATAACGGTTATGAGTGATAATAAAGATACAATCATAATCATTCCGGTGTAAGAATCTATTACTGAATTAATTTGAGGTGGTTGAGAATTATTTCGATATTGAGTAGCTATTAAAAAGGGTATCTCAAAATAGACTGGAATTGCAGAAACTTTATATTTTTTAATATTTTTCAGAGAAGATAAATACAAATTCATATCTCGAGCGCCGGTTTTAAGTACAGAATTTGAGTTTTTCAGGTAAACGAACTTCGAATTATAATATCGGTCTGTTGTCAGATTTAGAATAGGAAAAATAACCTTTTCTGGCCAAGTAGTCCAGTCGGCCTGAAAATAAAAAGGGGTTTGTTGGCAACTTTTCGACAAAATGGTCCGATTTTGGATTTTTTTTTTTTTTTAAATACTCAGAAAAATATTCTAAACATTTGTGTGTATGTCGGAAGTGTTGCTTTTTTTTGTTTAAAAAATAGCGTTTTAGCGTCGAGCTTTGAATTAAAATATCTCGGAAACTACGCAAAAGTAGTCGAGACATGCTGCGTATGAAATTTAGAGAATTTAATAAGGAAAAAAATGAGCTAAGCCCGATGTCTGTATGACCAATAGTTTACGAGATATTAATTTTTTAATTAAAAAAAGCGCGGTTCCGCTCGAGCGCTTATAAACAAATAGCTGTAACTCCGCGAAAAATCAATTGAAAAATTTTTTTTATTTGTTTAAACAAATAGTTAGTTAACAAAAAAAATTGTTTCCACAATATTGGTATCAATCGATTGCAAATTTTATGAATCGGAAAGATATCCAATCGTGACGGGAACTTTTTTTATAAAAAATTAATTTTTTTTTTTTTTATGGACCTAATCGAGTCAGGCATGAACAGATCTGATCATTTTTTATAAAAAAAGTTTCCGTCACGATTTTATATCTTTACGATTCATAATATTTGCAATCGATTGATACCAATATTGTGAAAACAAATTTTTTTTTGTTAATTAATTAATTGTTTAAACAAACAGAAAAAATAGAAAAAAAAGTTCCCGTCACGATTGGATATCTTTCCGATTCATAAAATTTGCAATCGAATGATACCAATATTGCGAAAACAAATTTTTTTTGTTAACTAACCATTTTATTTAAACAAATAGAAAAATTTTTTATAAAAAAAGTTCTCCACACGATAGAATATCTTTACGATTCATGAAATTCTAAATCGTTTGATACCTATACTGTGAAATCGATTTTTCAAAAGTTAATTAAGACTTAGAAAAAAATTATAAAAATCTGGGCGGGCACTTAATTGTTATTATTCGCTTCACATTATTATTATTTCCCCCATCATCCTCCGACAACGGCTCAAGGGGAATGGCGCACGCGCACTTCCTCGGATCCGTACATCGAATCCCGGTAGAGCTCATATTTTTTTAAACTTATTAGCTGTATATTTGCATTGAAAAAAATTTAAAAAAAAATTTTTTTTTTTCGTATCGATTTTTTGTTGCCGGAAAAACATTTTTATGCAAAAAAAATAATTTAATTTTTATTTTAACTATTTTTTAATGCGAAAATTCAAAAAAATGAAAATTATTCATATAAATTCAAAAAAATTTTTTTGAGCTTAGCTGAATTTTTTGCTTATAAAAGACAGCAAAAGCTTTAATTTAAAAAAAAAAAAAGTAAATCGATCGATTTTTCGCGGAGTTACAGCTATTTGTTTATAAGCGCTCGAGCGGAACCGCGCTTTTTTTAATTAAAAAATTAATATCTCGTAAACTATTGGTCGTACAGACATCGGGCTTAGCTCATTTTTTTCCTTATTAAATTCTCTAAATTTCATACGCAGCATGTCTCGACTACTTTTGCGTAGTTTCCGAGATATTTTAATTTAAAGCTCGACGCTAAAACGCTATTTTTTAAACAAAAAAAAAAGCAACACTTCCGACATACACACAAATGTTTAGAATATTTTTCTGAGTATTTAAAAAAAAAAAAATCCAAAATCGGACCATTTTGTCGAAAAGTTGCCAACAAACCCCTTTTTATTTCCAGGCCGACTGGACTAAAGATTACCGTGAACCAGAAGCAGAAATTTTTATGGTGTAACCGTTCAATAATTTCGTCTTATCAAATTCGATAACGTGACATGCTTCTTTTTCTGAAACAAAACATTAATAAAATTTTATATTTATTGTAACCGTACACTGAAAAAAAATACATTGATTCAAGAGAAAATATATTGAACCTAAAATATTATTTTAAAGAATTCAATTACTTTGAATCAAGAGTGAAAATTCTTGAACTAAGAAATTCTTTCCGGTTTAAGTAAATTCTACGTGATTTAAGAACTTTTTTTTTTTATTTAAGATGATCAAACCCTTGAAAATATTATTCTTGATGCAAGAATTCCTCTCTTGAGTCAAGTTAATTTTTTTATCTGTAGACCGTATATTCAAGAAAAATGATCTATTACGTACCATTAGTGAATCGAAGATTATATAGAGTCCATCGAGAATTTGGTTTTTCAGTTACTTCTATTTCTTTCCACGGATGCGGTGCGTAATTGGTAAAAGGGTTGTAGGTATACATCATGGTAAAATTTCGGCTTATAGGGCACAAATAGAATGATGATAACAAATCATTCCTCCATAATAACTTGAGAAACTCTAATGCGTACTGCACTGAAAAAAAAGTTTTTTTAAACCCGGAATACTGAATATTTTTTAGTCGAGTTTTCTTGTACGAAGTAAAAGTCAAGTTAAATATTTTAGATTTAAGAAAACTGGTATTTTAAATCTGAGAATACCAAGTTTTTTAACAGGACTAAAACTAAATTCTATGTTACCATAGCAACCGTGACGGTGGCGCCACTATTTTGTCATTTCCCTCCAATCTACAGTGTACGCGTGTTTTTTAGTTATTAGTTTACCTCGTGCCTGAGTCTAGTTACCTAAATATTTATTTCTGTAAATTAAATAATTTATAAATTATAAATAAAAGTATTAATCATCAATATTACTTCCCCTTACTCCCTTACTTATATGGATTCTTGGGTGCAAAAGAAGTTGTCAGAGTGGAATTTATCATCTCCAACAAATTTATAACTCATTTTTGCAAATCAATTTATCATTTTATAAATCAATTTTTATAATAAGGTAGAAAACCCAGTTATTTTCACTGGCCTAGTCGTTTGACACTTGCAATTTTATTCTAATTAAAAAAATAAAATGTTCTCAAAAAACAAATTATCTTAAAATTTATAATTCAAATATAATGTTTATTAAATTATCAGAGTTTTTAATTAAAATAAAATTGCAAGAGTCAATAACTAGGTCTTTTACCTTAGTAATGTTATTAATTATAAAAAGTATAGTTTCTCATAATTATCCATCCTAAAGATTCGTGTCGACCAAGCGAGGTTAAGTCGGCCATATTGATTGTAGTATTATAATAATGAGAATCCGAACAAAAACAGTTTCACTGTAAAAAAAATCGCGCCAAGTCCACGTTCATAAGACTATTAAGAAAAAAAAAATTAGTTTTTTCTTTACAAAAAGATATAAAATAAAAAAATTAAAAAACCCAAGTAACCGATATGATTGTTTATGAATTTCGGATATTAAAAAGAATTTTGCTGTAAATTTAAAAATTAAAAAAACAATTTTGGAACGTATTTAGTGTGCACGGTTACAAAATATTTTACTTTTAACTAAATTCGTAAAATCTATTTAATAGGACTTTAAAAAAATTGAAATGCACAATATGACGCACCAAGTACGTTCTAAAATTGTTTTTTTAATTTTTAAATTTACAAAAAAATTTTTTTTAATTTCCGAAAATCATAAACAATCATACCGGTTACTTGGATTTTTTAATTTTTTAATTTTATATCTTTTTGTAAAGAAAAAAAACTAATTTTTTTTTCTTAATAGTCTTATGAACATGGACTTGGCGCGATTTTTTT